CGCAGCCCCCGGGCAGCTGGCCCGACGCAGCAGAGGATGCTCTGTGCCCGGCATGGTTGGGGCCTGCCGGTGTCCGGGCCGCCGGACTCGCTTTCCTGGTGCCGTGCTGTCGGCGCGGTGGCGTGCGGTGCACCGGGCACTGGGTGGTGCTGGAGCCACGCTGCAGCCCCGAGCCCCGGTGCAGGGCTGCCCCGGGAGGCCTCGAAAACACAGCCCCAAGCCTGACACACTGAGCTGATGAGATGAGCTTAATTAAGCATGCACGGGCTGTAACACACTGTCCAACTTTAGGCTCAGCTCTGCTGTGGGGGAAATGGATGGCTGCTGTCCTGTCCCAGGCGCTGCAAGGTTTGGGGCGGGTGTGTGCAAAGGCACTGAGCACGGGGACCTGAGCGAGGCTTGGCAGCAGCGGCCCTGCTTCAGGAAGGCAGTTCGGGTGGATGCTGATATTTTATGCACAGGCTGAAGCAGGGCAAAGAGCCCCACGTGCATCCACCCTCACTGTCCCGCTGCGCTTGGCACAGCCAGGATTTGGGGTTGGGCAAGCAGGGAAGAAAGTGGGCCAGTCCACGCGCATGGCAGGAAGCCACTGGTTCTCCAACACCAAGATGTGGCATTTCCTCCTCCAAGACAGTGCTGGGGCTGAGCAGTGGGTGGAGCAGGAAAAGCACCATTATATTTAATATAAAATAATTGCACCCTATGTGCTGCTCTATCCAAAATACCAGGGTGCCGCAGAGGCGGGAGCACGTTTCCCACGGTGAACCACTTCCCGCTCCCGACTGCCTGCAGTTGACAGCCGAGGCGTTGCTCCATAGCCAAGGAGCAAACGGAGCAGCCCTCGCCTGCTGATGCTCCTGCTTCCACCTTGCTTTACCGACGTCTTCGCGCCTGGCCCGCGGGCAGGGTGCTGCCGCGGAGTGGGGAAGCGCGGCCAGGCGGGAGCTGGAAACCCCGGCTGACCAGAGCGCCAGCAGACCCTTTGCATTGAGCTGTTTAAGGAGAGATTAAATGGAAATCATTGCTATTTATTGTAATATTTATCAAGGTTTAGTAAATAATTGATGCTGATCCCTCTTTGATTTCCTCAGGGGCCAGCACGCGGTTGCAGTGAATTAAAGCTCAACGGTGCGTGACGAGCCGGGAGAACGCCGCGCCGGAGGCAGGCGCCCAGCAGGCTGGATTCAGGGAGAGCTTCACCTGCACCAGCCCCAGCTGGGACGGGAGTGCTCGGGACCTGGCCACCTTCCTGGCTGCTACAGACTCCCGGGAAACCTCAGCAAATTCATTTCTTCCTGCCTAGCCATTTCCCTTCTCCCTGCTCCATGTGCCCTCGCCGTTCCCCTCCCTGGACTCACAGCACACAGAGCAGATCTCAGCATCTACAAACAACATAACATTTATTGGCCTTTTGGTTTACATAGCTAATGACATTGCTGAAACATCCATCCGAGGCGAGGAACGGATGCAAAGACCCCGGTTCGGAGGGAAGCAGAGGAGCCTGCAGCAGGGGGACATCAGCGTGGCGCTTGCATGAGCAAAGAGGGGAAACCTGCTTCTGCCCCAGGACTGGCAAATCGCCCCAAATGGGCAGTTTGCAGCGACCCTCATCGGTGATTGCTCTGGGTTCGCTGACATCTTGCAGCACCGCTCTGGCAGCACGAAGGACCCGCAGCAGCTCCACCTCTGCCTGCAGCAGGACGAGGGCTCTGACCGAGGAGCTGGCATTCAGGCACAGCATCTGGGCATCGACGTGGTCCCTAAAGCGTGCTGCACCGTGGCAGTGGCCAGTGGTGATCGCAGGCCTTACCTGCGTCCGCTCGGATGCCCCTCTGCCCTTTCTCAGGGGCCTTTAGTTTGTTGGGCTTAGTCAATTCTGGTACGGGTCGAATGGCTCGGGCACTTCGCAGCTCATGGGTCAAGGGGCAGGGTCTCTGAGTCGGGCCGGGCCGGGCCGGGTGGGAGATCACATCTCCTCTCCTCTGTGGAAAGAACAGACACCCTCAGGCACGCTGCTGCCCGCGCCGAGCGGGCCCTCGCTAGCGGCACACCCGAGGACGTGCCCACCGTCCCGTCGTCCCTGCAGCGTTATTCCACAGAAAGCCTAGACCTCGACTCTCAGCTCTTTGGGAAGGTCCTGGCTGGGCGGAGGGACCGGGAGCCCCTTGCTCGGTCCCCATACGACTGTGCATCCTGTCTCCAGCAGAGCCCGTGAGGTTACTGGCCCTGAATTATGTGCTGCAAAAAGGGAGCAGGGACAAACAGCACCTAACAGAGACTGTGGAGGTTGTAGTCTCTCCAGCAAGTTCACATCCGTCATTTCTCCCATGGCATAAGGGCACCCACGGTTCTCCCCCCTCCTCTCCGAGCTCTCCGAGCGCAGAGGAGAGACGCACCCAGCTACGGGACTGCTTGCTGTGGCGTGGCAGCTTGCAGCAAAATGAAGAGCACGAGCTCCTGGATTCAGAGATGCTCTTTGGCTGCAAACTCCTGTAGCACGCACACAAAGAGGGGCTGTCACACACAACCTCCCTGCGAGGACCCTGTCCCTCCCTTGTCGCCCTAACAAGCCTGGGCAGAGGTATCCCCACATGAGGTACATTCGGTTGGTAGCACCAAGTAGGAGAGTTCCCGTGGATGTGCTCTCCCTCCCCTTTATAGCCATCAAGGTCCCGGCTGAAGAGTCTGGTGGTGGCATTGCAGATGGGGTCACTGTCCCTGGCACTTGCCAGGGCATTTTTCCCTCCCCCTCCCCCTTCCACAACCCTGTCAGATCAAAGTCAAGTTGGGAGCCGAGGCCCTCAGGGCTGCCACAGACCTATTCTGGGACTTGTTTTCCTTCTCCTCCAGCTTGAGGTGGCATCGGCAAGTGGAGGCCTTGCTGTAGCTGACAGAGCGCTTGGTGGACTTCTTCCATTTCCGCGCAGTCCGTACAACCCGCTTGAAGATGAGGTAGAAGATCTCACAGACAGTGAGGACAATGCAGATGGAGGAGGCCCCGACCATGAAATAGGTGAAGACCCTCTTCTCGGTCGGCCGAGCGATGTAGCAGTCTACAGTGTTGGGGCAAGGGTCCACATTGGCGCACTTGACGAGCCGTGGCAGGTCGAAGCTGTCCCACATCTTGTGGAGGAGGTAGAGGAACAGTATCTCTATGATAAGCTTGAAGAAGAGGCTGAGCAGGTAGGTCCACCACAGCCCGCCGTGCTTCTTGCCTGTGTTGCTGTAGAGCTTGGGGCAATTCTCCCCGTTCTTCTCACGGTTCTTCTTCTCACGGTCTTCTCGGTAGGCCACGTGCATGATGACCAGGAGGGAAGGACAAGTGACAAAGATGAGTTGCAGGGCCCAGAGGCGTATGTGGGAGATGGGAAAGAAGTGGTCGTAGCAGACATTGGTGCATCCTGGCTGGCGTGTGTTGCAGTCAAAGTCCTTCTGCTCATCCCCCCACACGCGCTCAGCTGCCACCACATAGACCAGCACGCGGAAGACAAAGACCACTGAGAGCCAGATGCGGCCAAAGGCCGTGGAGTACTTGTTGACCCCGCTGAGCAGTGCCTGCAGCGTTTTCCAATCCATGGTGGGCGGCGCTGGCAGGGGCCAGAGTCA